CATTTTTCCACATATATACTGAATATGATGCAAGTTTCTTGAACTTTCCCCCTTATCTGATCAAGTGTACACTGACATTCACACAGATTCACTGTCGAAGCCAGAAGCTGTTAACAGACACCCCATGTCTTTCTTTGCCTCTTTGTTAAGTATTTATACATCTCCAGAATCTATGACTTGGACTGTCAGGTATAGATCTCCCCACACACACATTGTATAGGCTGGTAAATTCCAAAGCTACTCCACAGCCAGAGTCCAATGCATACTTATGATGTAAGCAATAAGAACTACCAGAAAAAATGTCAGAAGATACAAAATATCTTTAACTGAACCACTAGGCTTGCCATAAAAGTATAACCATAACCAGTTCTGGAATTATGGCCTGCTAATGTGGCAATTGAGGGTGAGTGTAGCTTGCATAATGAGAAGGGCAAGCAATGGTAAATTAGTTAGCTGCTCTTGGTTTTCTACTCCTGGTAAATAAACTCCTTTTGGGAAAAACATTCTGTCTTGTAATATTCTGAAAATAGCTGGCCTATACAAATCATCTTGCTCCTTATAGTACAAAGTGACGAATAGTAATTGTGGAAAGAGGAGGGGAAATTCAAGGTTAAATAACGGCTCAACAAAATATTACTTCAGTTGTACTTCATGCTTCTGATCCATTTGGAATGACAAAAAGGTAGTCAACAGTGGCTGGTGAACCCCAGAATCTAGGACAAATCAATACTCGGTTCCCCTTAATCTGTATATTGGGTGTCGTGATATGTCACCAGGATCTGGACCAGAATTTGAATCTGTGACTAATTCAGCCTGGTTCTGTAACACCTGTTCTGGTTTCTGATTATGTGCTGTTATACATGTAAGGGTAGCTATACTTCCTGCATTCAAACCTTTAGGGAAGTTATCAACTCAAATTCTACTATCACAGCCTCTCCTGTTTAGTATTTTACCTTGAAATCTTTCTTAATGTTAAAGAATTACAGACCATTATTTAAGTCTGCTTATTTTTTTGTCAACTATCACATTTTTACACAATGCAAAGGGAAGACATGCTAAGTAGTAGGATGATATTGCTCTGTGCACCTGCTGTATGCCAGGATCATACCATTAAAAGCCAGTAAGGCCTATCTTATATGTTTAGTACAGCTGCAATGGAGTGTAGACATTTCAATTAGACATCTGCAGTGCTTGCTCTGGAATTCGTGCTATGAAACAAGTTTTTATAATCTTTTAAAACTGTGGATGATATGTTTAGATTAACTTCATAAAGCTTTCAGACTTCAACTAGTTTATTAGAATCATAAATGCATAAACACCTTTACCAGAAAGATAACAAAGCATTGGTGGTACTTTAAATACATGAATTCTTGGAAATATTACCACCAATGCAAGGTAATACAGACGCCGGGCATCAATTCCCCTGCCTATCTGCATGTTTAATTGAATCTTTGAGCCAGTAAGAAATTAATTTTAGCTCCCAACTTCGTTACCATAGGCAATGTCTTATAAATGGCCCAACTTCAATCATGATGTTAGCCTTATCAAACCAAAAGGTAAGAGTTTTAAGAGGTAGGTTCTTAAAAGCAATATTCATGCCTTTCAGAGAAAATTAATTTTGTATATTGACTGATCAGTGCATGCTGCAAGTTTGTTTCTTGGATGTCAGCAGCCAGATCTGTTTTCTGCCTGAAGCTGAAATAAACAAACTTAATCTGAACATAGATCTGCCACTACCATTACTGAGGTATCTGTGCATTTGATATTCTGCTCCCTAAATATACCTAGATAATTAAGTCGTGGAAATTACTTAAGGATTGAAGTTTTACTCTTTCTGTTTCCAATGCTGGAAGTATTCTTGTTAATATTGTGTTCTTTAAAATAACCTTACATTCTGCTCAAGGACAACATCATTAATAATAATGCTTCTTGCCCAGTGAGGCACTCTTGAGTTCTAGGGTCAAGTGTACATCCTAATCAACCAGCTACTCAGATTTCCAGCACAGAACAAAATTATAAAGTTAGACCATCAGAAATAAGATTAACCAGATGTGCTGAAATTTTGAAAGAAATCACATGATCACAATAATGCTGAATGGTACGCTAGCCTTTGCAACAAAACATACCTAGACCAACCCCCCCCCCCAAAAAAAAAAAGAGATTTAACATTGGTGGGCATTTACTAATAATCTAGATGTTACCCTTGCAAAAGAAAGTATTTAAAATGTTAGCTATTACATCAGATCTTGTCATCAGCTGGAAAAGTGTGAAAGGTGTTGGTAACAGCTATCATTATACAAAGATGACACAAGGAGCTATTTTTCGGAATACCTACCCAACTAGTGTTTTGACCCTCACTTCTATTGGCAAAACTCTTATCCTAGGTACATGAGATCACCAGCAAACTTAGACTTTTAATCTGTTTTAAACATTTTTATGTAAGCCGCCTTGAGTCTGCCTCAGTGGGGAGGGCAGGGTATAAATATAACAAATAAATAAATACTGAGATGTTTTAAGAGGACTAATTTTAACGTGAGCAGCCTACATTTGATTCCATATATGGCCATACACTAATCTAAATTGGTCACCTAAATACTCTATTTTAGGTTATTATATAGCAATCCTAAGCATTCCTACTCATATATAAGTCCAACATTGGTACTTACTCTCAGACCGATTTCCCACAGCTGCTGCTTTGCGCTCGCTCCTCTCTTTGCCCCAACGGTACGTGTCAATTTCCCACTCGAAGCCACGCGGCCACATTTTGACCCGCAGCTTCACCCGATTTCCCCCACAGTTTCATGATCCTGTTTTTTCAGGATTACAAAACCGCAGGCAAAATCGGGCAAAGCCGCAGGACAAAATGTGGCCGCACAGCTTCGAGTGGGAAACTGACACGTACCATCAGGGCAAAGAGAGGAGTGAGCGCAGAGCAGCAGCTGTGGGAAATCAGACTCAGGAAAGTGTCCTTCAGACTGTAGCCTATATCAGCCACAAAAATGAGCTCTGGGAAAAGCAGATACCCAAACCTTTGTTGGAGAAGAATTTCAGTGTTAGGTGAATTTTAAAATGCTTTACTAAAGATATATAATTGTCATGTTGACTTCTGAAAATTTCATCTTTGTTCTAGATCTTTCCCCAAGTCCTGTCAATTAACAAGCATAACTACCATTGACCCGAAAAGATGTTGGGTTACTTTGCTGAGGCATCACTAAGCTGTCTACCCTGCATTTGTGCCTACCACTTTGGTGAAGCTAATAAAGACAGTGTTTCAAAAGTGGCTGGGGGGCACAGGCCTATAGTCCAGTAAGTAGGACACAGCAGGTCTAGACTATTCCTGGCTTTTTGTTTTCAAATTTCCCACCAGATAGAGCTTAGAGAAATGATGCTGTGAACATACTTTGGAATTTAACATACTCTCTTTCTGTTCCATTTTTAAAATTGTGGTCATAATGTGCTCAAATGAAAAAATATGTGATTATCAAGCTATGAGATGTGCCTCCAGGGCACAAATATGGCAATTTTTGTTTACTAAAACAACACCAGAAAATACCCCAAAATGCCCAGGCACAGGCAAGATTACTGAGTGTTAAGCCAATGCTCTTCCCACTGCTTCTTAAAATTTTCAGTGAGTGAGCTTCTACAATTCTGCTAGGGAATCCGTTGAAGATAAATTTCTAGTTTTATTAAGAGTATCTTCCTGAACTCCAACCCACATCTGTCCTATTGTGACATACAGCAGGAACTCAATGCTGCTCTGTCCTTCATCATCACATATAAACAGTAATTTCCTCTGACATCCTTTTAGATACTCAAAAACTGGTATCATGTTCACTGTTATTTTCTTTTCCTCAGGTTGAACATGCTATACATCCCAAATCCATAATATTGGTTGTCATGTGTCGTTCTGCCACTTAAGAAACCAGTTACTTCAGTAACACACCTTGTTGATGAATCTTCACGCAAGACCTCTTGTTCTCAGACAATGAATATCTTATCTGTACTGTGTATAAGTGGAGTTCCAGGGGGTGGAGAGAAGGGAAGTGAATAAACTGTACCACAGGCTTTTCCCGCTAACAGAACCTTCCTAGCTTAGGCATTATGCTGGTCATATATTCACAAGAGAAGCTCTCCCTACTAGTCTCCAACTTGACCTATTCTGAAACAGAGAGTCCCAGAACTCACACACTCAGATCTCACATTGTGCCCAAGAGGTTACAAAACTCATGCCCAGCAGCAAACCTCTGTGGTGGTCTTTGGAGGCCTCCATTTGTGCTCTATGCTCTCCAGTACTGAACAATGCAAAGGGCAGTTAAGTGAACAAGCAAAGAGAAGACTGAAAACCTCTATTAAGAGCCGGTAAGAAGATTTTAATATGATATAGGCCCAAAGCTTAGTTCTTTCACCACA